CATCCTCAACAAAGATATTTTTCAATTGTGCAATGGCAAATATCTGCGGGAATTAAAACTTAAGACTTCCTCTGCCAACCAACTCATCCAACCAAAATAAAATTCTATTCCCTTGCCTACCTTCCAATGATACATTCCTGAAATTTGTCTTCCCATGTTTATCTTCCTCCATAACCCCATCCCATGCAATCTAGTCACGTCTCTCATAGTCTCTCTTCTATCAATAATCCCCCAATGAGCATCACCAACTCTCTTCCACAACCTATCATCTTCCCTCATATACCTTCAAACTCATTTTTCTTGAAGAGTTAATATTCACCTCAATGAAGGATCTTAGTCCCAATCCCCCCTTGTTCCAAAGGTAACTTCACCTCCTCCCACTTCATTAGATGATATCTCTGTCAGAAGCTTTTAGCATGCTGTTTAATCTTGAGAAAAAAAGAGAGAGAGAAGAGAGAAATAGAAGAGAAATAGAGAGGAAAATCTGAGAAATAATTTTATTCTTTTTCCTTCCTTTTTTATAACATAAAAATAGAGTTTTTTATAAACTATAAGCAATTAAAACAGTTATTATCACGGCCGGAATCGATGCAGCTGTTGTTGTTATGAAGTAAATTCAAAACATTAACTCTAATTCTAACCCTAATTGATATTTACAAAAGACTAATTTACCCATTTTATTATTTGTACTTTTTTTTACTCTTAATATTCTGACAATATCCTCTCCTTCAACATCAACCTTATCCCCAAGGTTAAAATATACCTTATTATCATCATCATTATTATTATTACAACTAACTACTACATAGAGATATATATTTTTTTAAAGCAATTTTTTTATATATATGTGTTAATTACTATATATGTATATATCTTTTTTTCTTCTTTTGAAGCAGTTTTCTACTGCTTGTATCCCATAAAATCATTTTTCTATTATTATATATAGATGTATATATATATAAATATTTTTAGAGCAGCTTTCTACTGCTTCCGCCCTGTTGGAAAACAAATTTTCACAGATTGACCCCTCCACACCATCGACGCAGTCGTTGTCAGGCGTTGTAATCGCGTTACTGCAGTAACGTCTTCTTCTTCCACCTCTTCTTCTTCTGCTTTTCCTTTCCATATCAAAACCCATCTGGAGAACGAGAGACCTGCTGGTTTCCATCTTGATCTTGCGTGAGTTAAAGTGGAACCCGAGCAGAGCGTTTGGGAGGTAACTCTTTCTGGCTTGTTGGCCAAGGCAGATGAGGGA